TCCTCCCCTCTCCCCTGGAGCCGCGCTGCCCGCTCCGCCCGGCCCACGCCCTCTAGCTGGCGCCAACCAAATGGCGAGGAGCACCACCGCCCTCCCAGGGAGACCCGTGGGAGGATGGAGGGGGGGCAGTGGCTCCGGATGGAGTGCTGCAGTGACAGCACCCGCAGCGTGGGTGACCCTGCCCCGGGCGGGGATGGGGCACAGGAACCCTTCTGCTTTACAGCGAGATTAAGCTCAGGGTCAAGTTCTGACTAAAAGTGTCAAGGAGCCTTTTTGCAATCTGCTATACAATTAAAACAGAATCTGTGCCCTTCGGAGGAGATAATAACTAACATCTGGGGAGCGTTTTACAGCTTCTAAAGGGCTTTTCATACACAGGCTATCTCATCTTCGCAACAACCTTATAACAGATAAATAAAACCAAAGAGCTGAAAATAGGTGTTGTGCCCAAAGTTACCAGCTACAAAGTGGCTTGGGAAACCAGGTCTCTTGAATCCAGCCTCCAGGTTCTTGCTCTTCACCAGCCCAATCCCAGAAAATTCTAGGGGCTTTGGCAAACAGCCCCAAAGAAAGAAGGGAAAGCTAACAGCCTCTAGTTAAGATGCTACGGATCCCTTCTATGAACATACCAAGAAAAGCATCAAGCTGTTTTCTTTGCCTCGTGTCACCTTCCTCCCTGAAAGCGATGCAGAAAGATTACATTAAATGGCCAGATGGGTATTTTCCAATAGCTTAATGCAGTGATTTTCAACCTTTTTAATCTAATGGCACACATAAACTAATTTTTAAAATTCTGCATCACACCAATATATATATATATTTGCCGATCTAACAAAAAAAATAGGTATAATTTTGATTCATTCATGCCTGACGGCTATTGTTGTGTTGGCTGTTGTCATTTTTATATTTGACAATCTAAGGGAAAAGAGGTCAGTGCCCCTGACTAAATTAGTCAGGTATTGCGTGTTTTAAAAATTCTTGATGCACATGGTTGAAAATTGCTGGCTTAATGGTTTAAAGTGGGTGAAATTATTTGGATGAAGAAAGTCAACTTAATCAAATATAATATAATGTAAATTAATATAAAAATAGCCCCCTTATCCTCTATGTTCTTTTCTTTTTTATTTTACTCTTTAAATTAAAAAAAAATTGTCACTGTTGCTTTGTTCCTTATAGTTCCTTCATTGTCCACATGAACAGTGTTTTATTGAAAACCTAATCAATACATATTTGCATTTCCAAATTAAACTCTTGGCTACTTGACTTAATTTCCCATGAATTGTTTGCCAAAATATAATTCTTCTCTCTCCTCCTGACCTCTCATGATGATGTTGATTTGATTTACCTGAACAACTAAATAATTAAGGTGTCCTTGATGAAATCTGGTGTCATTCTTGATGAAAGTTTGGAGGTCACCCCTGAGCAGGGTGGGAAAGGAGTCACCTCCAACAGATGAATTTCAGTTCAACTTTAGAGAGAGAGAGAAACATCAGTTGGGGGGCTTCCTGCACCCGCCCCAACTTGGGAACAAACCCTCAACCTAAGTATGTGCTCTGACTGGGAATTGAACCCGCAACCTTTTGGTCTCCAACCAACTGAGCCACACCAGCCAGGCCTGTGAAACTTCCTAAAGGTTTCTAATAGAGATTGAGATCTATTCTAATCATAACAAATATTTTAATATTTATGTAACTAACATATCCTATATAATAAAGAGGTAATATGTAAATTGACTGTCACACCCTCGCACAAGATGGCCGCCCCATGTGGTCACAAGATGACCGGCAGGGGATGGCAGTTGGAGGGGACCAGGCCTGCAGGAGAGGGGAGTTGGGGGGGACCAGGCCGGTGGGTGAAGGGAGTTAGGGGCGACCAGGCTGGTAGGGGAGGGCAGTTGGGGGCAACTGGGCCAGCAGGGGAGGGCAGTTGGGGGCAACTGGGCCAGCAGGGGAGGGCAGTTGGGGGATATGATTTTAATTGTTGTACAACATTCTACTACTTTCTTATTATTGGGCATTTACATTATTTCCAGTTTCCCAAATTACTTCCCCAATCTATACAATAAAAGGCTAATATGCAAATCAACCGAACAGCGGAACAACCAGTCACTATGATGCGCACTGACCACCAGGGGACAGATGCTCAACCCTGGTGGTCAGTGCGCTCCCACAGTGGGAGTGCTGCTCAGCCAGAAGCTGGGCTCACGGCTGGCGAGTGGCAGTGGCAGAGGCGAGAGCCTCTCCTGCCTTCGTGGCAGTGTTAAGGATGTCCGACTGCGGGGAGCAGGCCTAAGCCGTCAGTCGGACATCCCCAGAGAGCTCACCTGAGAGGGCACAGGCCAGGCTGAGAGATTCTCCCCCGCCCCCAGTGCATGAATTTCATGCACCAGGCCTCTAGTTTCATTATAAAAATTATAATTATAGTAATATCGATTCTGTAGGTTTTTATCTCTCCTATTTAAAAATATTTTCTTTTGTTGTGTTCCTTTTTCCATCCCGTAATATCTCCTAATACCTCCCAACTGTAGTCAACTTAGTAAATGATGTTGACAGTGGAGGTTTGATAATTTTATTTTCCTGCTTTTGATGCTGATGGATGTAATTTTGCAGAATTTTTTGTTGAAGATGATGCAGTTTTGATTCAGAGAGTAGTTCATTCCATTTACATGAATATTCTTTAGACTGTGGGCCAGGCAAGGGGCCTTATCAATGACAAAGACAGAGCTTCTGTTTCCTGAGGTGCTGGTGTCTAGTGGAAACAAGCCAGTAAAAAACAATTCCAACGCACACTTCTACTGATTAATTTCCAGAAAGGTGGTAAGTTATTTAAAAACTAAAATCAAAATTAATTTTTTCATAATAAAGAAAGAAAAAGCAGGAGAATCATTCCAGTGAGTTTTTTAAGTTGGTTTTCTGCTTTTTCTCCAGATAACATTATGTCAATGATTATTAAGCAGTCTATTTTAAATCGTGATTATACTGTATTTATTTTTTTAATTATGACATAAACAAAGGTAATTATTCAATAGAGATGCAGATATTTCACTTTTTAGCTACAGTTCCTTGTATCTTCTTCATTATAGGAATTCTTAAATTATATTTTTAGCTTCCTCAATGCAATTCTAACACTTTCTTAATCTTGACAATCTAATCACATATATTTCTGATTATGTTTCAGGTTTCTGACATCAGTGATCTTTTTTAAAACTGAACTGGGGGGGTGGGGGGGAAGTTTCCCTTTTTAATACAATAATGGTACTTTTTTAGCTGCCTCTTCATGTGAGAACTCCTGGGATGTTACCTGACAAATTTCAGCCATGATTTTACTTAAACTTTTTGACTTCAGGTGGTAAACACACCATGCAATATATACATGATGTATTATAGAATTGTATACTTGAAACTTACATAATTCTATTAACCAATGTCACCCCAATAAATTTAATTTTAAAAAATTTAAAGACAAACAAGTGAACCCCCTGGGACTCTCAGAAGCTAATGGGCTGTATTCTCAGAGCACTTGTATAAGGGGAAGGGAGCACACGTTAAGACCGAGACTGGTGGAAAATATGCCGGCATCACAACACAGTTTTGTTTTTTGTTTTTTTTTTTAAATATATTTTATTGATTTTTTACAAAGAGGAAGGGAGAGAGATAGAGAATTAGAAACATCGATCAGCCGCCTCCTGCACACCCCCTACTGGGGATGTGCCCGCAACCCAGGTACATGCCCTTGACCGGACTCAAACCTGGGACCCTTCAATCCACAGGCCGATGCTCTATCCACTGAGCCAAACCGGTTATGGCCACAACACAGTTTTTTGCTTGGCCAGCCGGAAGTTCTGAACTCTACAAGACCCAAGCATTTTAAACAAGCAGTTTAAATTATGCTACTCCAAATAGACTGCATGTGTATCTCAAAGGGCATCAATTTCTTCACAATGTAAAATTAAAATTTTAAATACATTTCCATTTTTAAAAAATATATTTTTATTGATTTCAGAGAGGAAGGGAGAAGGAGAGAGAGATAGATGACTTCAGCTGCCTTGCAATGGATGTACCACCACTCACAGCTCCAGGGTGCGCACAGGGATGCGGTCATCCTGGGCATGTCCAGCCTGGAGCAGCTGGAACAGAACCTGGCAGCCACCAAGCAAGGGCCCCTGGAGCCAGCTGTTGTGCAGGCCTTTGATCAAGCCTGGCACCTGGTTGCCCATGAATGTCCCAACTACTTCCCTTAGGCCTCATCCTGGCTGGAGGTGGCAGAGGGTCCACTACGCCTGTCACCTTTCTTTCTCTCACCCTGGCCTTAAGCTGCCTTATTTAGCCTGTTCTTTTCTCATCATCTGTTCACAAATGTTTCCTATTTTCTTGGAATCCTCCCAGTTGCCTTCACAAAGTGTAAAGGTTGGGGCCGTGAGTTGCTCCAGCGTTTCCTATCGGAATAAAGCAGGCACTTGACGGGTAGCCCAGGCCTGGAAAAAAAAAAGAGAGAGAGAGAGAGAGAGAATCATTGATTGACTGCCTCCTGCATGCCCCCTACTGGGGATTGAGGCCACAACCTGGGCAAGTACCTTTGACTGAAATCGAACCCAGGACCCTTTAGTCCGCAGGCTGATGCTCTATCCACTGAGCCAAACCAGCCAGGGCTTAAATACATTCCTTTTAAAATATATGTATTTTTATTGACTTCAGAGAGGAAGGGAGAGAGAAAGAGAGAGAGATAGCAGCATCAATGATAAGAGAGAATCATTGACAGGCTGCCTCCTGCATGCCCCGCACTGGGGATTGAGCCTGAATCCTGGGCATGTGCCTTGACCCGGAATC